TTCAGAGTCAGAACTGGATTCTGTGTGAGAGAGAGGGTCCTTCTCGAACTGTTCTGTGATGAGTGCCTTCCTTCTTCTACAAGTATCTTCATACTTCTTTTCTCCATCCTATCCTTGTCTCTTGGACACTCTGGGATGTGGATAGTTTGCCTTAAAATTTCCAGTCTACCTGCAGTTGTAACAGAGAAGCTCTCCATTACTGTCAGAGGGCTTGGTCTTCTGAAATGGATTTCTGCTGGTAGATGGACACCTTCCATATTTGGGTTTCTTCATGAACCTCTTGAATCTTCTGGCAAAAGCAGCCATATATTCGTCCGATAATAATACAGAAGGGTCAAAATCATTTACCTTAGATGTACTAGCTGTGAGAGCTGTGGTGGTCCTCTCTTCTGGTACGTCTTCCTTCTCTTCAATCATCTCGAACTCATGAGATTTGAGGTTTGAGATGAGCTTGTCTGTTGGATAAGTCTTCACATCCTTGCTTGCTTGAACAACAACCATCTTCATCTTCCATGCTGAGGGCAAACCTCTCAGTACTTTGAGGTTGATCTCCTTGGTGGTGAGTTCTTTGCCAAGTTCAGAAATCTCTCCAGTGAGAGTGAGTAGTCTGTCATACATTTTGGAGATGCTTTCACCAGGAAGAAGTTTGAAGTCATCAAACTTCTTGTTGGCTATTGTCAGTTTATTGTCCTTCTTTTGCTCATCACCAGCTCCTAGATGTCTCCTGGGATGCACTTCCTTTCTTCCTTTAAGACTGAACCTTTCACTGAGTTTCCTTGAAGTATACCCACTTCAGTACTCCAGTTACTTGGACGCCTTTCTTGTGAAAGAAGAATACTTGTTAAAAAACAGAGGTTTCTCCAACTCGCTTCGTCACAAAGGATGTGTATATGAAGTGCTTGAAGTGTTGAAGAACTGTAGGAACTTTGCTCTTGTTGGAATGGAGGATATGAGAGTAATATCTTTCCAACGTAGGCTTTTCTTGTTGAGGAAGATGAATTTATGATCTCAAGAAAGCTTTTTGAATGATGTGGGAGGAGCAAAAGTTATTCTAGTTGTTCTTCGTGGTGTATCATAAATACTGATGTTATCTTTCCGTTGGAGAAGGAAGATAACTACATTAAATGCGCGTCATGTGGAGTTGACTGGTTGGACCCACAAGATTTGGCGGCTTGCTATTTTGGGAAGATATTTTCCCGGATTCTTGGTCAATCACCAGCTTTATCTTTTCAGAGTATGGATCTTATTAAATGAGCATTAAATGCTATGTCATGTAGCTTTCCGCTGAAGTCTCCTAGCCGTTGAGGGAATCTTTCGTTGGTTTAACCGGCTCGGGTAGAATTCAGGAAAATCTTCCGAGTGTGAGTTTTTCTGGTGTACTTCACAGAAAAGTAAGTACAGAGGGCCTTGGGGACTTCTGTCCGGAGGAGCCAGCAGAGAGCCTTGAGGACTTTTGTCAAGAAAATCTAGCAGAGGGCCTGGGGGTTTTCTGTTCAGATAGGCTAACACAGAACCAGTGGGTCTTCTATCCAGTCGACTATTCTAAAGTGCTTACATTTAAAAAAATCTAATACAAAATTCTAAAGGGGGTACTCTAATATTGTAACTAATCTAGCATCATCAAAATCTAAATACAATTATTCCTTACAATTTCTCCCCTTTTGATGATGCCAAAACCCTTAAACTACTTCTAGAGAAGTGTCTTTCACCATAAAGAAGATAAAGTTACTACTTTCATTAAAACTCTTGGTGGACCACTTAGCATAGGAGGGTAGTAAGAGTAAGGAAATAAACACGATAAAACACAATGAGTCAGAGCACAAATAAAAAAAATTAATCAGAATAACAGGATCAACAGAAAGCAAAAACAAATAGGAGGTAATTGCCTTACAATAAAAAAGGCAGAGATGTGATTTTATTATGCAGTTAAAGTATAAGGGAGTTCTGTTACACATTTTCCCTTAATGCTGCAGCCATGGACAGATCTTCCAATCCTAGTAGCCTGTTCAACTCTGCATTTACTTCTTCTCTTATCCCTGTGAGATTTCCAGAGCGTTGGTAAGAAGCCCAGATGGGAGAAAGTTTGCAGTCCAGGTAGTTGAGAACTCCTTCATGGACTGTTTTCCCTGTAAGTACATTCTTCTTGAACCAATACTCTGCTTCTTCTAATGAGCCACCACATCTGACTCTAACATTACTTTCATAATCCGTGTAGAGGTTCTGTTGTTGAGGGGAAGTCATCTTCTGTTTCATCTCTTCAAACTGAGCTCTGTCAATCTTTTGAGATCCACCCAGTCTTCATTCAGTAAAGTTCAAGGCCTTCCTTTTTCTTAGAAGCCTTCTTAGGAGAGGATGAGGGCCTAGGTATGCCAGCTGCTCTTTTCTTCTGAATAGCAGCCTCAAAATAGGGTGTTAGATCAACATAAGTGGATGTTCTGGCCGAGGTTCTGGTAGGCTGTACCTTTTTCTGTTGGGGGTTCTCTTCCCCCTTTTTGGCATCATTAAAGTCTTGCAGCATCATGCCTATTTTGTGAAATTTTGTGGCCTGTTCTGTAGCTAGCCCCTCAAGTGCAGTCTGAGTGACAGAAGCAAGACCTTCAATAAAGCCCTGTTATTTCTGAATGGCAGAAGAGATATCTTTGGTGCTTGCTTCAAGTAGAACCATCTTCTCGTATCTTTCTTTGTTAGCAGCAATGAGAGTTTTAGTTTGTTGAGAGTATTTTGCAGAGTTCCTCAATGTCTTGCAGTTGCTCTTTAGTCTTGGTATCAAACCATTGTAGTTCATCAACTGTGTTAGAAATCTGAGTTATTGCTGCATCTTGAGCGCTGAGTGTCTGGTGCAAGGAGTAGAGAACATGATTTATGCCATCCACAAAGCTGGAAATATCATCTATCATCTTTGTGGACGCAGTTGAGAACTCATGAAATGAGGTCTTCAGAGAATCAAGATCCTGAGATATGAGTGGCAAGTCTGTGCTATAATGATCATGAGTGCCCTTATTTAGCTTGATCAGTTCCTGGAGGATTTCAAGCACGTGATCCCCAAAATTTCCAGCAACATGCATGAAGTCCTTGAAGGGGAGTTCCTGTTGAAGTATCTATCATCAATGGACTTATAGAGAATGTCCTTTGTTATGTTGTCAAGATTGTACTTTCTTCTTTCTTCAGTGATGCACTCAGGTTTGGCTTTGTTGATCATTTGTGGCCTTGTGTTATCAATTGCATGTTCATGATTCACCTTCTGGAAGTTGGTGAATGACCCTAGGTCAAGAACTTCCCACATCTTATCATGAAGAGCACAGAGATGTGCCTTCATCCGGATCCTCCAATCACCAAACTTGAGATCTGAAAACATAAGGTTCTTGGAGAGAGAGTTATCCATAGTATAAAACAGATAGAGGCTAATAAACAAGTGTATCTTTGTTCAACAGGTAACCTAAAAGCTTACAAGAACAAAGAGGCTCTAATACCACTTGCTGATCGTTGCGCTTACCGCTACACTAAAAGCGATCGCTAATAGTGTAGCACGCCCCTCTCCCTTTATAGCACAAGCGAAGCGCCACGCGGTTCGATTGCACCGGTAGGCTGACAGATTGCTGGCACCGCATACCCGCGGCCCAACATTTACTTTATCAATTCAATATCAACCACATAAACTCACTTTTCTTAATACCCATGTCACATTCTTCCGTCCCAATGTTAGTGGGACGGAGGTAGTATCATCTTGCGTTATTGGGCTTTCAGATGACCATCCTTAGTAGGCATTTGTGCTTTTAGCCATTGGACAAGGGCCTCACATGCTTTTTTAGTAGCCAATTGGATACTCTCACTTTGTCCTCCTAACAAGCAATGAACATTGTTTGTAAATCAACATCCTTACCGAGTGATGAGCCACCAAATCAATCGAAGGAGACACTATATGATGAAAAAATACCAACACGCCCTTTCTTTTATCCTTTGTCCAAAACTAAGTCTCTTTTAAGCACTTTTTTGTTTCAAAATAATTGCAATATTAAATGTTTACAAATCACAAATATACTACCATCTCCGTTCGAATAACATTGGGAAATGGGGAAGTGGTGCCGTCATTAAGAAAATTGAGTTTATATGGTTGATACTACCTCCATCCCGAAAAGGTTTGCCAAATTGACTTTTCTTGGTTAATGATGACAAACTTTGAGCAATGATTTTAGTTATTATATTTGTACTCGCCTTATTGATATGCGGCAATCTTAGCCAGACGAAAACATCTTTGGTTTGTATCTCCAAAATCATTTATATGATGCGCATACCCGCCTTATTTTTTTTGGATTGTTCTAAAATTAGTGTCGTATTTATTTTTTATAAAAAATACGTGATTCAAAATATTTCATTTTATTATACTCAAACCTCAAATCCTCAACCTTAAATTTTATTTATTCAATCATAACTGTAATAAACTAAAATAAGATATGTAAGAATATAAAATAGGATGGGTAATTGTATTTTAAGTTTTAGCACACGATTTAAGTTGCAACAGTTTGACTTTCACGTTTGCCAACGCGCAAATTTGACTGTAAATATATTTATTTACGTATTAGTAAACATTAAAAAAAGTTAAAAATTTACAATAATACAAATTTATTAATATTTTATATATAATATTTTTATTATATATATTATTAGAAAATTGTAGTCAAAGTAAGATGTGTGAATAGTGCAGAAATTCCAATGTTGCAACTTTTATGGAAGGGAGGAAGTATGATTTTGGATGTTTTTACTTGGACTGTAATTTGCTGATCTGGTCTGGTCTGGTCTGGTCTGTACTGGTCTGGTCTGGTCTGGTCTGGTTTCTTTGTATTTTTATAACTATCCAAATCTGGTCTGAACTGGTTTGGTTTGGTCTGGTCTGATTTGGTATGAGACGAATTAGAGTCAAAGTAAAAACATCATTTGTACATTGGAAAATACATTAGATGTTTGAAGTTTTTAGAGATATTAAAAACTATTTTTGCTGTTATGCATGTTGTAATGTTTGAAAGGTTAATTCGGGATTAAATGTTTTTTGCTCCTTAACTTCCGATGCATTAGTTCCCTCTTTGGGCAGCAGAAAGATCGTATTCAAACATATCTTGAATTTCCACACTGGAGAAGATCTCAATCTGAGTGAGGCCCTTGATTGGTTTGAGCAGATGAATTGAACTATTGAAGGCCTTTGCTCTGGATACTTGATTTGTTCGTTAAGGATTCATTCTTGGACAGCAGAGTTAGGCTACGGTGGGGAGTTGTGGAAACGGTCGGTGAATAATGCTGCGGCGGCGGCGGGCGGCCGATTACCGGCGCCCGGTTCGAAGCAGTTTTTCTTGCTGGATCTGGACGCTACTGGGAATATTCTTTATTGCAGGTTTTGTCTTGTTTGTGTTGCTTCACCTGCATGACAGCGAGGATCATGCAGAACCGCAAATTCTTGTAAGTCAGGATTCTGTAGTCTCAGTTACTTGTTGGTTTGGATGCATTGAGTAATTTGAATTTTTGGATTAGGGAACTTTTCGTTATTCATCTGCTCTTGCAGAAGATGATAGGATAGTGTGGTTGATCTTTGATGGGTTCCATGAACTATGGTTCCGTATTCGATGTTTACTAATAGTTCCTGGATTTCTCATCAGTTCAACGATTTATCCTTTTCATTTAAACTACTAAGACCTGCTTTTTTTCCATTAGAGCTTTATTAGTCTTCATGATTGTACTTGGTTGAGCTTGATTAGTCTTTGTGATAACCCAATCTGATGTTTGTGGAGCTCAGTTTATGCTATGGTTTGAGGCTGAGCTTTCGATTGATTAATGTTCTTCAACTCATGCTCTCTAATTAGAGTTCATTTTTAAAGAACAAAGCTTTACACTGATCCTCTAGTAGCATGTTAAGCTTCTTTCTGTATCTGCTCCGGTTAGTTCTAACCTCAAATGTAATCAACTACTTTTTTCCAATATAAATCAGTGCACAGAAGCCAGAACTTAACGGGACATTTGGATTTTAAAGATACCAGTATCACGAGAGGGATTCTAGCTATGTCTTATACAAGTAGAAAACCACATAATATTAGACCATTTATATACTTCCTTTGTCCTATATTTAGGTTTTCATTTTGCTTTACACTGTTTGTGTGATAATAGAGTTAACTCTTTCTTAAAACTATTTAAATTAGAATTAATAATTGAAATTTTCATATTTAAAAACTGCACCAAAAGTTCTTTTGAACCTAAACCTGATTTTGGATACGATAAAAATTGAATATGCAAAATAAAAGACTAAAAGAGAGTCAAGTTGACCACATGAATAGTTAATGTGAACATTATTTTGGGACAGAGGTAGTACTCCCTCCATCCCGCTAAGATTGTCTCATCTTTTCTTTTAAGTCTGTCCCACTAAGATTGTCCCATACCAAATTTGGTAAGATTTGTGTGGTTCTAAAGCATTCTTACTTTATTATCACTTTATCAATTCAATATCAGCCGCATAAAGTCACTTTTCTTGGTAACTGCACCTCCTCCTCTTGTACCAATGTTAGGGGGGCGTAGGTAGTATATGACAAAGTGGTCGAGGTTTGGAACTATCAAGCGTTTCATTTGTATGTTCATTAAACGATAGTTAAAATCTGTGTAATGTGGTGTGAAGTAAAGAGAAGTATCACCCCATGCTTTGAATTGGTTTTCAATTTAACATTGGAAATCAAACTGGGAAAGCATTTTAATTGGCTGCTTTGGTGGCTTAGACTTTCCCATGATGTGGGGTTCATGCTGTTAAATATGTAATATGGAGTTCATGTCACAAGGTGGTTGAGGATAGGTATTAATGTATTATATGCATCATACTTATTGCAAGTTTGCTTAAACTCATTACTACAGCTTATAGAAGTACAGCTTGTGTGAAAACATCATTGAGTGCTCTGCTGTTAATTAAACAACACTTCTATAATATTACTACCTCCGTAAAGAGAAGTCGCGTCTAATGTTAAAAATCATATTCCATAGATGACTATATATAATATTGTGTGGTATAAAGGTAGAGAAGATCTAAAATAGAGAACAATCTCAAATTTGATAGCAAACAATTTCATTATATTCTGAAATATTATTAGCACATTTTCTGACAAGAAGTTCAAGAAATGTGCTAGCATAAACAATTCCAATTGTTGTTAGAGAACAAAAATAGTACTACCCAGCTACGGGCTTTAGATAAAAGTTGTACGTGTTGTGGAATGGGAAAGTAACAGTTTTCTCCCGAGTTAATCGGGAGTCACAATCAATTTTATTGGTTAAAATTAAAAAAACTCTTATCTGCCTGCCCTTTTACCTTTTGTAGAATGATCATTATTTTAAGTGAATTCACTCTACTTATTGTGGTACATTCTCAGTAATTGGGGCTTTTGTACAGATTGGTTATCATACCCATCATTAAAGTTGGATGAAATAAGTTCTTTATGATATGTTTGTTTTGTATTATATTATTATGACTATTATTTTTTAAATATTTGAGAATGGTAAAATGCTTACAGGCTGCTGAGGTAAAAGAAATTTGTAACTTAATAAGTTAGAACTTCCTTTTCAGGATAGAGGTTCCAGAAATGATGAGGTTGTACATGAGCATTTAAATTTCACTCAAGAAATATCAAGTGCTACATCATATGCCAGACAATTAATAGAGCAGATGACACTTGCCAAGGCTTATGTGGTTATAGCAAAGGAGCGCAATAACCTCCATCTTGCATGGAAGCTTAGCATGAAGATAAGGAGTTGCCAACTTTTACTTTCAAAGGCTGCTATGAGGGTGGACCCTATCTCTGTAGATGAAGCTGAACCCATCATCAGAAGCTTGTCTTCTCTGATCTTTGAGGCACAAGATGTGCACTATGACATAGCAACGACAATGATGACCATGAAATCACACATTCAAGCTCTCGAAGAGCGCGCAATTGCAGCATCCGTTCAGAGCACTGCGTTTGGACGTTTACTTTCTGAATCTCTACCCAAAAGCCTCCACTGTCTTGATATCGCTCTCACAACTGATTGGATCAAGAAAGTATCAACACTGGATCTTGCAGACAAAATGAGAAACTCTCCTCGGCTAGGGGACAACAATTTGTACCACTTTTGTGTGTTTTCGGATAATGTGATGGCGGTTTCGGCAGTAGTTAACTCGACCATTTCCAACGCCAATCATTCCCAGCAGTTTGTTTTCCATATTGTGACTAACGGGGTGCACTATGGGGCAATGCATGTGTGGTTCCTCAGTAATGATTTTAGAGGATGTACAATAGAGATACAAAATATCGAAGATTTCACTTGGCTGAATAATGCTTCATCATCACATTCTTACCCTCTTGTTGTTAACCACGAGAATCATTCTTTGTTGAGTCAGCTTCGGTTTTACATCCCGGAAATCTATCCCCAGCTAGAGAAGATTGTTTTTCTCGAAGATGATGTTGTGGTGCAGAAGGATCTGACCCCACTTTTCTCATTGGATTTACATGGAAATGTAAACGGAGCAGTGGAAACGTGTCTGGAAACTTATCACCGTTTCTACAAGTATCTCAACTTTTCAAACCCGCTTATCGGGTCGAAGTTTGACCCGCAGGCATGTGGGTGGGCATTCGGGGTGAACATATTTGATTTGATTGGTTGGAGGAGAGCAAACGTGACTGGACAGTATCATTACTGGCAAGAGCAGAATAGGGAGGGGAGCATATGGAAGGACGGGACCAGCCTTCCTCCGGCCCTATTAGCTTTCTATGGGATGACAGAGCCGTTGGATAGGAGATGGCACGTCCAAGGGTTTGGCCACGATGCCCATATAGACAAGCGCTTGATAGAGAGTGCAGCCGTGATTCACTTCAATGGCAACATGAAGCCGTGGCTGAACTTGGGATTTAGTAATTACAAGCCCTTATGGGAACGTTATGTGAATCAAAGCAATCCATACATTACAGGTTGTGTTGACCGTTAAAATTTCTTCTTACACCATTAGTTTATTGCATCCCTCATATTCTCATACTTGCATTTTCACAGGGTTAGATTTAGGTATTATTTGCCTCATGTGGGGTGATGTCTTGAAATATTAGTAGTTTGGAAAGAAAATGGTTTGTGCACACCAAAAGGAACTATTTTCCTTGGACATAAGATTGGGCATGAAATTAATGCTTTTTTGCCTTATCAAGTTTGCACAATGGCTCGAGAAGAACTTATTGCTTCAAAAAAACTATATAATATAGATAAAAAAAGAATTTTTAAGTAATCCACAACATTTAACTAATATTAGTGGGTGTTGTAGATTCTCTGGAATTGTTAGTTTGTTACACGTTGGATCAACTCTTGCTATTTCTTCAAGCAATTTACCGATGGCAAGTGGTAGTAGGGTGGGCAATATCGGTTTTGGTTTGTTTGGTGCAACAAAAGTAGTACCCAAGCGAAACTGGATGTATTATGGTTTGGTTACAGTTGTAGTTTCATATTTTTTACTCCACTTTTGCTTATTTTAAATGGTTTGTTTCAGTTTAAATCCAAATCAGATGAACTAAAATAAACTGATGAAACAAATTTAGAAATGAAATAATAAAGTTAAATAAACAAGATAAAACATAATAGTATAATAGTGATGATTCAAGTTTGTTGTGGTGTGCAAAATAGCAATGGGTTTCAAGTAATGGTGGTTTATATGTTTGGTGCAATTTGCAAAATATCAATATCATCAAATCAATGTAGTGGGTTAGGACATTTTCACTACAAATAGCCAAACATGTCATGCCTCCTTAGTGTTGGATCTACTACAACTCTTACAAATTAGTATTCCAGAAAAAATAAAATAAAGTAAGAGTATAATTTTAAATTTGGTTAACGTTTCAAAACATAACTTTCGTAAGGATTCATGAAGAATGTATTTACTACATTCATCGGAATTGAAATATCAGCTCATTTTTGTCTTGTTTTTAATGACTTTAAGCATCTAAAGAACAAGAGTACGTAAAATCATTGTTTGGTAAATGAATGAGTGAAGCAGCTAAAAAACAAAACGCTAGGGGTGAAGTGTTTCAGTTTAGCAGTTCGCTATTCTACCTTTAGCTTTAGTGCCCTCGATATACTTCTGCCATCATTAATAACAACTACTCCCTCCGTTCCTATTTTATCTTCCAAATAGTTTTGGCACACAATTTAAGATAGTGAGTATTGTGTGGTGGAGAGTTGTGTAGAGGAGAGAGAAATGTGTAAGAAATGTTGTGAACCACAAATTCTTTACTAAAAAGGGAAAGTGGAAGTTTTAATTGGAACGGACGAAAAAGGAAAGTTGGAAGTTTTAATAGGAACGGAGGGAGTACAATTTCTTCAAGTATGTACGCGTAGTATATTTATTAATTTCAATATGATTTTGGTCCTTGCTATCTCCGTTTTTTCACGTAATATATATCCCCACCCAAGTGCAGTTTTTGTATAATTGGAGAATCATAAGATGATAAACCTGATTGATAAATCATTCCATCTTAATTTTCGAAAAATAAAGACAAAGCTAAATGGCTAACTCTGCTTTCGCATATAAGCTTGAAAGTAAAAATAATATCACTTATTTCAGTTTTCAATTTATCTTTCAAAAACAGACTTGTCGAAACTCTCTTATCACAAATAGATCATCCGCTGCTCTTTAGTGCTACGAAGGGAAATGCAAGTCCAGCCATGCCCAGACAAATGCAAGTCTACCAACCAAAGACATGCCTCCTAAATGAAGTAATATGGAATTACGCATCACAATTTTGGCTTAACTTTAATAAAAAAAATGAAAATAGTAGTAATACGTCAAAAAATGGGAATAATTAGGCAAATAATAATATTCGGGAAAAAATAAAATTATTGTTTTTAAGAGAAAATACCCAAATTAAAAATTTCAAAAAATGTGTAGAAATAAAATTTATGACTTAAAATTTAAAAATAAAAATAGAAATTTTAATTTAAAAAATATATCAAAAAATTCAAAATTTATAGAAAAGTTAAAATACACAACTCGAAAATAAAAAATTATAAAAACTAGAAACAAGTTATTTGTAATGATTTTTTTTAAAATATTTTTATAAAAATTCAAAAACTTTAAAATAATATTGAAAATAGAAAAGTAACAGTTCGAAAATCTAAAACCTAAATAGTATTTAAAAAAATATGAGAAATGAGATAATGTTATAAAACTGTTAAAAATATAAAAGTAACTAGATTTTTTGTTAATGAATAAATTTAAAAATCAGATTGAATGATTTTTTTATGGAATAGATTTTTAATGTACCGAATTATATTAATAAATAAAAAATCTAAAATTTTTAAAAAACACAAAAATCCAAAAAATTTTAAAAGTGGAAAATAATTTTATATAATAAAGTAAAATAGTGAATAAATTTTTAATTTTTTATAAAGCAGAAAATTAAAGAAATTAAAAGGCATGTATAGTATTTTAAAAATGAAATTATGAAAATTAAATTAATTGGAAGATAAAAATAAAAATTGGGAAAGTGTTGAAATTTGATTTCCATTAATTCAGTATTTTAAAAAATTGTTACAAAATTTAATTACTATTACTATCTTCGTTTTAATGACACTTTTTGTTGCACATTGTTTCTTTGTGTTTGTTTTTGTTTATAATTTTAAATTTTTTATTTTTTATTGTTTCTTCATGTTTGTCGTTGTGGTTGATATTCATAAAGTCAAATTTATCAAATTATAGGATTATATATATATCTGTTTGTGTTTTTTATTCCCACGAATAGCAAAGGTCAATATAAACATAAATAAACAAAAAAAATTATAATCATATCAACAATAAACAACAAAAAGTAACATGATGTAACAAAAATAAACACAATGCAACAAAAAGAAACACGGTGCAACAAAAAGAAACATGATGCAACAAAAAGCAACACAACGCAACAAAAAGCAACATACACAATGCAACAAAAAGAAACAAAAAATTACATATAAAAGTGTCACAACAGATAAATATCCGTTTGTGTTTTTTATTCCCACGAATAGCAAAGGTCAATATAAACATAAATAAACAAAAAAAAATTATAATCATATCAACAATAAACAACAAAAAGTAACATGATTCAACAAAAATAAACAGGATACAACAAAAAGAAATACGGTGCAACAAAAAGAAACATGATGCAACAAAAAGCAACACAACGCAACAAAAAGCAACATACACAATGCAACAAAAAGAAACAAAAAATTATATACAAAAGTGTCACAACAGATATATAATTCAAGCTATTATTGCAATGTCAAGAGAGGATTGATCGTTCCAAATGTACATCAACAATAGATAAGCAGTTAAGGGAATGTTGCAGGCGTGTCACATCAATAGCTAGGTGGAAACTAATCTGACAATGCTCCATTGACTCATGAAAATGTCGCTTCGAAATGCTTCACTTCAGTTGGATCAAGGTCGGTCTTCAATCTCGGCCACAACAATAAATGTGGCAATCACAAATTCATAGCCTGGAACACTACTACAATCACTGTTAGAGTTGCATCAGTAGTCAAATACTTTAGAGAATCAAATGCGGTTAGCAAAGGTTTCAAAATCCTAATCATTTATTTCAACATAACGTGATAGATCAACAAAATTAATAAAAATAAATGTCTGTATAAAAATAAATGTGAAGGGCATTTGAAAAGAAATTATTATTTAAGGAATAAAATGATTTTTTGGTATGATGCATATATGTGACGCAAATGCAAAATGAACAAAGGAAATGGCAAAATGAGTGCTTAGATGCTTATTGGGAATGAGAACCTGAAAATAGAAAGAAAAGCTCATCATTATCAATCCAGAAACACAAGACTTGATTTCTTAGTTCATACAAAGAATCTTCTCTCTAATGCCATATACATTGTCTAAAAGTTGGATTTGGAAGGCAATTTTGGGGTTATCTATGTTTCTTGCCAAAAGAAGGAAGTACATAAAGACTAACAATAACTTACCAAATAAAAGATGTATAATTAACATAAACACTTCTGCACATTTTTACAGCATAAGTCTTTTTCAGATGAGAGGAGCATAGTTGCCTAACCTAGTGAACTTAGAGTAGCTATGTCATTTGTAAGAAAACCCAAATACATTTTCCTTTGGACATTTATGCATAGATGAAAAGTTACTCCTCTGAATACTTCAAAACATAACTTCAAACCATTTATAGAAGAATCCTTAGGGATTCTTCTGCCAGTTCCTTACATGGTTGTATATTTTTATATTACCTAAAAATTCTCTAGTATTGATCATACTGAAGCACATTTCGGAAATTGATTTTCAAACCTATTAAACCTCATACTGTAAATTACTTTTCAAAATATCATAGTATAACCTTCCACTGATCACAAGTTTAAACCATGCTAAGCTATCAAACTACAAAACTTCATAGGAACACAAATTGATTTAAAGCATTCTTAACGAGGATCAGCCCTAATATAACTTACATAAGAGAGAATATTCAAAGGTCAAATTACTGACCAACCTGCTACTTTCCTAAGGATTGAAACTAGATTTCTTGGTTGCATAAGACGAAAGTATAAAATACAATTGAATCGACTGGTCTAGAATCAGTTTCTAGAGAATAGATCGCTAGGGGTGTCAAGTGCACCGGCTCAATAGAAAGGAACTAGGAGAAGAATCGATGAGCAATCGATAAGATCTAGATAGCTTGTGAGTTTCTAGCTTCATTTAAGGTCAGGATGAACAACTTGTTACCTACGATTTTAGTACTTGAAACTCCATAACGCCTGTGGATTTCAGCCCATGAGACTACCGAAAATTTGCCTCCTCCTCCCATGAAATCCAAAGTCACCTGGAGTGTGTGATTGATGGCACAAATTCTGCCCATCGGTCCTCTAATTTATTTCCGAATGACCATAACGATAAGGGATCGATCGATCTCATACAACCTCCCTTTCTCCAGATATTGCATCATCCGCTGCAACGAGAACAATAGTAAGATTGCTTTGGGAAGAATTCCATCTGTTGTCTGTGGTGAAATGAGAACTAGAAGTCAGGGAGAGAGTCGGATTGTACGTGGCGACGAGTGAGATGAGAAGGGGAAGTCAGGGAGGGAGTGGGAGAGGATGACGGAGGTTTAAACGTGTATATCGACGGAACCTATCTAAAATTGAAATAAAAAATTAATATTGAAAACCTAAAAGT